GAGGACCTGCGCAGACTGTTTGATATGCTGGGAAACGATCTTTTGTCGCATGACGTGGTCAACGTCGCTATTGACGATGATTGCTTTGATTTTGAAATCATTGATCACATGGAGAAATGCAGGGGCGTCTTCTGCCAGCCGGTTCTGGTCGATTGGAGCAATGGGAACGACAACGGCACCCAGACAGAAGCAGGCATGCACGGCGTAGACATAATCCTCGGAGTGCGTGTACATCAGGATAAGATGATCTCCAGGTCGAACTTTGACCTTGTTTTTCAAGTACATCGCTACAGCGGCGACTTTCAAGTCAAATTTCTTCCAGGTGATACCTTTGCCTTCTTTTCCACGGCCGTCGATTGAGCAGTAAGCAAGCTCCTCTGCCTGGCGGGAGACACGCCATTGGAGAAGGTCCACAATCGTTGCGAAGTTGTTCAAAGGCGTGGAGGTGCGATCATCCATCACGACATCGCGGTAATCGACACCCGAGTACTGCTTTTCTTGCATCGCAAGCATCTCTTGCCGTGTCGCCGAAGCCAAGGGAGACCATATTCCTCCAACAGGGTCGACACCAACCGGGAGGTTCATGACCGATCGTTCAATACCGAACTTCACATGCACACAGGGCAGAGTTCCGGCATCGAATTCTCTGCGACAGAGCATATTACCGATCTCCCGCCGTCCATTCTTAGTGACACGAGGAAGTGTGTTCGGCGCCGTGAGAAGCACACAATAGACTCGCAAGTGATGCTCTTGATATAAGACTTCCATACATCTTTCCGCCAGAGATTCGAGGAGCACAGAATCCAGTTGCCGAGGTGGACCACCCGAAGTCGTTGGTGCGGTCGATGCCGCATATGACTCTAAAACAACGATCGGAAGGTGCTCATCATTGACAAACACATCAAAGGCAGTGCAGTCATGTATCTTGGGCAAGTTCTTGAGAATACTGACAATCATGTGTTGGACGAAGAAGTAGCGATGTTCAACAATCTCCTGCCCATGCTCGACCCATTCTACCTTCTGTCGGAGGCGGTCTTCGTAGAGACCTAGTACAAAGATTTTCCCCTCAATCACACAGCCAAGGAGACCAGTCCGTAGGAACTCTGGTTCCACCAGCACAGGGGTGGGGTTGCCCTCTTCAAACTTATAAGGCCGTGCGTGGAAGATTGCTTCCGTATGCTTGGGCAATGCCCAGAAACCGCCAGAAAGAGATGGTGAGTCAACCCATATCTCACCGATCACATTGGGCGTGCATAACAAATTGGTCTCCGGGTCAACAACGGCAAGGGTCGCATCGGGAATCGGGTAGCCGAAAGAGCCAACTCGCACAGCATTTGGCATGGTCGCTGCGTACTTCCGAGCGTCCTCGCCCATGGCCAAAACCACAACCTCATTGCTCTTCAAGGCCTCTTTATCGAGAAGTACTTCGCCCAGCTCGTTCCTGTTCTGCTCTTTTGGAGCAGGAGCAGAAGCACGTGCACCGCCACCCAGAAGGCTGCTACCGAAACCACTGTTGTTTTCGGACTTTCTTTCCTCCTTTTTGGCTTCTGAAGCTTCTGAACGCTCGGCCGGATCCATCTCATGAGTCAGAGGGCAGCCCAAACGCTCTTCTCCTCCCAACCAGTCCCGAACACTGATCACCATACCGCCATGTTCGGGCAAACATAACATTGGGGCAACAATTTCCCGAGCTCTGGGGTTTCTCATGGGCCGCAGCCATCTGTCAGCCAGAATTTCATGAAACTCAGCGTCGACAGTCAACGTATCAATAAGACAAAGCTTCACATTTTCGAAGTTAGGCTCAGAGTTTTTCTTGAAGTGACGCGTGGCCATTGGATCTTGCTGGTAGTTGTACGCCGTGATCTTAAGCCCAGGGTAATCCGCAGCCATGAGTGTGGCCCTATACTTAGTGACCAAATGAGCGTACAAGCCTGGAGTTTCGACCGCCCGATCCTCAAGCCAGACGGTGGTATGGCCACCATACACAGTAAGAAGGACACCAAGAATCATTCCAATGCCTTGTCTTGGATCGAGATAGCTGATCAAGGTCTCTCCGTGCGGACGGACACTTTTACCTGAGGCAGGAACAGTTGCAATTATAGCGCCAAGACAAGCCATTTGATGCATGATTGTCCGGTGGCTCATGACTACACCGCGCATGTCCCCAGTAGGAGCGCGTGAGAACTCAATGTAAGCCAAGTCGGGAACCACAAGGGCCGGAATATCATCTTTTCTCTTTGGGTGGTAGCTTCCGAACTCATTGGTCTTCCACCATTCTACCCCTCTGGGCCAGTTCAGCTTCTGCGTCGTTATATCCCTCTGGAAACTCTTGAGATTGTTCTCAGTTGTTAAAGCAAGATGCGCTTGAGTGGAGGTGAGAACCAGGTTGAGACTCTGGTAGTCTTCGAGATTATTGATGGGTACAGCAACGACCCCAGCAATGAAGCATCCCATAAGGGCAACAGCAAACTCGATGATCTCTGAATCACGGTAAATCAGAGCCACACGGTCACCACGGTACAAATTACTCTTGTCACGAACGACTTGAGCGACTTTTTCCGCGCGACTGGCAAGTTTCTCCCAGGTGATGGAAGCGATTTCCTTGCCTTTCTGGTCTAGGACCCAGTACGCGGGCTGCTTGGGATGTACTCTAGCGCGATGCCGAAGTACTGCAGGGATGTTATCGAAATTGGACATTAGAGTGTTCTTGTCATGCGGGTCGTGTACCGCAAAAGGTATATCGCGAGGCTCGAGGGGAAGCAGATGGTTGATAGTCGCCCCGTGAGGTAATTCGGAAGCAGGAATTAACGGCGGCGCCATATTTGCCGTTGGAGAAAACGTGTCCGATTGAGAGTAGCGATGGAATCCACCGCCATAGCTGTCTCTATAGTCACCCTGCTGCTGGCCCGCAAAGTCGGAGAAGTATGCTTGCTGGGAATCGAGCATCGTGGATTGTCGCGTGACCGCGCCGGGTGTCATGTCGTAAGCTCCGGCAGATTCATCCACATGCTCGGAAGCTCCAGGGTTAAAGGCATAGTTCTGGCTCAAAAGTGTTGCGGTTCGGGAGTCCTCCTGCGCGATTGGAGGCGCTTGCGGCTTCGGAAGGAAAAGGGAATCGTATGAAGTAGAGGAGGGCATCCGCTCAGGGGGCTGTAATGCCATGCTATCTCTATTGTATTGAAAAGCACTATCATCTTGGATAGAGCCCTGTGTGCCCATACTCACTCGCCGGTCGTATCCGAAGCTTCCGTTACCAGGTATGTTATTCTGTGCAAAGGATTGCGAAGATGCATTTCGGCTCGCGGAGTCCGCCGTAGGGGGCCGAACACTGAGAATGGTCGGTGGAGCAATGTTTGAGCTGCTTATTGGCGACGACGGACTTTCTGAAGACGCGTTGATCTCAAGCGGCTTGTTAGGACCAAGAAATTGCGAAAGGAGTAGCGTGCGCCGTTTCTGGTAACTTTAGAGAGTTAGTCCTCAGTGCGAAGGATCAGTCACTGGCAATTCCTATCGCCTCATGTCTCATTGTAATTGACGATCATAGCATTCATCCGAAGAGAGTCGCTTACCCTTTCTCCGTGATATCCCCCTCCTAATCACCAATTAGCGCATTAGCCACAAATTATGATACGATACAGTCAATCTAGAACAACTTCCATGACGGAGGAAACAACTAATATTATTGATTACACACCTCGAGTTCTCTATCAAGCTCCCGCAAAGCGGCCTGGAGCTCGGGATTCTCCTCCGCCATGATCACAGAAGCGCTTGGTAAGAGCAGATTACGACGTCTCTCATTCGGGTGCGCATATGACGAGATGCGGGATGTCGTTCATATCTTCTTCACAAAGCAGTCAAGTTTCCAACACGAGGGGTCAAGGTGTAGCCGACCGGAACTCTTTCACCAGATCTTATAGGGGGCCCCTTGCAAAGATGATGATAATGCAGCAGAGCGGAGGACCAGTTGTGGCAGGTTGTATCAACTTGGCGTGTTCTCTCCTCCCTTCTCCGCGGTTTGGTTAGCCACAACGTCACCTGCCGTGGGTGCTAGGGCCAAGCGCACACAGCACACTAACCAATGATCAGGCTTGCCAATTTGCACCGCCACAAATGAGAGGGGAATTGCTGCCCATCCTTGAATGCTTAGATTGAGATGCGTGTGTTGATGTGGATCACGAACGATAAGAGAGAAATGGATTCAGACATTGGTGTATCATGTCTGCGTATACTCCTTGTCAAAGTTCAACTCCTATCAAAATCCTGATGGCAGGTTTTCACCTGTATCGTAGTAATTGTCTTCACCGACTAATTTTGTCCTCGAAATGAACAAACCTACGTAGGCAAGGTACAGCGAGGAATGTACCTTACGGGATACTGTCTGAACGGACGACGCATCAATATTGTCGAAAATAAAGACTGAATGACGGATCCCAATTGCAGCGATTTGTCTCCATATTCTACGCCGATGCTCAACTTTGAATACAAGGGCCGATAACCGCAAGAGATCCTCCATGACGAGGATTGTACCACCAATTGGAGGGCGTTGGGTTACGGAGTATCATATCACTCGCTCAGCGGCGATGAAGAGTCACCCCAGTCGTGCAATATGACCATCCAAGCAGTGTAGATAAATGGACCGCAAAACCCCACACATACTGGAGGCACTGTTATTCAAAGACCATTGCCTCCGTAGACATTGCATACAGTAGGTACACTTGCTTACCTTAGTAGTAGTATGGCAATGAAGACGACTAGTCCTAATATGGATTAAATCGGCGGGAGCGACATAACTGTTATCACATGACCCCGGCTGGATGATTGGCGCCGGCCCTGCCCTAACCCACCCACAGTGCTAAGCGAGGCGCACCTCGATTTTCCTTGTTGCGAACGAACCTTTTCAGCGGACCGACTGCTATCGACGACATTGAAGGTTCACCCAACGACACCGTCCGTCACCTTCACGAATCCCTCCCTCGACAACAGGTGCATACGGCGTCACAATGTCTGATCACGGGGAAGTCGAGGTCGAAAACCCCTCTGGGGCTTTCCAGGCTCTGCCTAAGGACGCTCTTGCCGAGATGGGCACCGTCAAGCTGTTCAACAAGTGGAGCTACGAGGATGTTGAGATCCGGGATATCTCTTTGACGTAGGTGTTTTATTCCAGAATCCCTGCGACTCAGAAGTGCTGCGAAAGGAAATTTTATTTGGTCGGGTTGGGGTTCAATTTCGGTGGGAGACATTGGACTCGTACAAGAATGGAAATATCCTCGCACACAAGGCTGGGAATAGAAGCATTGGACAGTACTGGGGTTGACAGATGCAAATTTGCTGACTCGGCTTCACAAATACAGCGACTACATCCAGATTCGCAACCCCGTCTACATCCCTCACACTGCCGGCCGTTATGCCGCTAAGCGTTTCCGCAAGGCTCAGTGCCCCATCATTGAGCGCCTGACCAACTCTCTCATGATGAACGGTCGCAACAACGGCAAGAAGCTCATGGCTGTCCGCATCGTTGCCCACGCTTTCGAGATCGTACGTGCAATTCTCCGCGAGAACCTGGAACTCAGCCAGACAATGTCTGCCAGGGACAAACTACTGATACTGTCTCTACTTTCACAGATCCACATTATGACCGACCAGAACCCCCTCCAGGTCGCTGTTGATGCTATTGTCAACTGCGGTCCTCGTGAAGACAGCACTCGTATCGGTTCCGCTGGTACCGTCCGTCGTCAGGCCGTCGATGTTTCTCCTCTCCGCCGTGTCAACCAGGCCATCGCTCTCCTGACCATCGGTGCTCGTGAGGCCTCTTTCCGTAACATCAAGAGCATTGCCGAGTGCCTCGCTGAAGAGCTCATCAACGCTGCCAAGGGAAGCTCCAACTCTTACGCCATCAAGAAGAAGGACGAGCTCGAGCGTGTTGCCAAGAGCAACCGGTAAAGGGGTAATGATTGGGCGTGTTCTCCGTTTGTTCCTGGTTTTATGTTTACTGGAGTGGACGGGGTTTCATTAAGGATTCAGTCGATTTGCATGAATCTGCGCGACTGTACATACCTCAAGACAGTCACGGAGGGAGTGAGATCCAAAAAAATCAATGAAATCGGACGGCTTTCTTCTTTAGTAGTTGGAGTGCGATTATGAAAACATCCAGGCATAATAGGTTGATTACTCTTTTCTTCCTTAGAAACCTCATCTCTAGTCTAATTTTCCCGACTCCCTGAGTGCTTAGCACTTTAGGAGAAACTGGTGGGCAGTACTTTTACCTGTCGGCTAGATCCATAGTCGATTTTCGCCATTTAATTCATATCGTCTCACTGGACAGAAATAGTTAAGGCTGTAGAGTTAATCTGTAGGCTGCGGTGCGGAGGTTGACCGCTTATCGAAACTTTTTTTTTCTAGAGGTAAGTTTCGGAGCTTTCAACTTATCAAACCCCCAACCACCATCACCGCTTCTCTAACCTGCATCGCTCGAATTATCAGGCAATAATTCGAGGTCATGGTAAAACGGAAGTTGGGGGCCTTGGAAAAGGTCGAAGCTGACCTGTAAGTTACATGTCTCGTCCCAATCTACAACTTTCGAAACCTGAGGGAAGTTTCAGTTCGCCGCTAACAACTCTCTGTCTGACTTACCAGGCCGAATCTACAGCATAAAATTCGCAGAGATCCAAAGTGAGTTGCTCGCGCGCGATATTCTGGTATTCTTATGGATTTCATAGGCCGTTAACATGAGCGCGCGGTGTCCAGGTCGTATATCGAGGACTTTCGGGCCCAGCACTACCAATATGAGAGTCATCGAGAAATTTTCATGGCAGCGCCAACGGCTGCCACTGATACCGGAATCATTTCGTTGCGAGAATTGATTGATTTTATCGCTCATGTTGCCGATTGCTATCCAACTATAACGAATGATTTTCCCCAGCAGCTCATTGATATCCTTACCCAGCACCATCTGGTTCTGGAACCCGAACTGCGTGAAAAAATTGTCGGAAGCTTAGTGCTACTTCGAAAGAAGGAATTGCTTGATTCTGCGACGTAAGTGGGCTTGAATAACGTCGTACTTACTGGAAAATGATGTATTAATCCAGCTGTTTCGTATATAGGCTGCTACAGACATTGTTCCCTATTCTGATCACAACACCAAGCAAAACTCTTCGAGCCCTGATTTTTCAAAAGATTCTCATGGACCTGCGCTCATCGAACGCCAAAACAACGAATCACAAGCTTAATCGGACTATGCAGACCGTCCTGTTCAACTTGGTTACGTCCGACCGCACCTCGTCCAAAGGCTTGTGGGCAATCAAGCTTACACGCGAACTATGGAAACGGCAGATCTGGACCGATGCTAAGGCTGTTGAAGTCATGAAGGAGGCTTGTCTGTCAGAAAATGAGAAAGTCATAGTTGGTGGTGTTCGTTTCTTCTTGGGCGGCGACAAGGAACGAGAGGAGATGGAAGACGAGAGCAGTGATGAGGAGACCATCGACCTCGGAAGAGTGAAGCATCAGGTTGGGATTAACAAGAAGACCCGAAAGAAGTCCCGCGCGGTCGAGAAGGCAAAAGCCATAGTCAAGAAGCGAGAACGCAAGAAGAACCAACCGCATCCTCTGAACTTTTCTGCCCTTCATCTTCTGCACGATCCCCAAGGATTCGCCGAGGCATTATTCGCGAAACACCTCCAGAACACGAAGTCGAACTTGAATTTGGAGCAGAAGCTCCTGGTTCTACAACTTGTCTCTCGTCTCGTCGGGTTGCACAGACTGCATATTATGCATCTCTACTCTTACTTTCAGAAATATCTCACACCACGTCAGGCCTCCGTGACATCGTTCCTTGCTTCCCTTGCCCAAGCATCACATGACTTAGTTCCGCCTGATGTCCTGGAGCCTCTCGTGCAGAAGATCGCAAATGAGTTTGTGTCTGAAGCAGCAGCGTCGGAGGTGGCTACTGCTGGTCTCAACGCCATTCGTGAGATTTGCGCCCGACAGCCGTTAGCGATGAACGAAACCTTGTTGCAGGATCTCGTCATGTACAGGAAGAGTAAAGACAAGGGTGTGGTGATGGCTGCCAGAGGATTACTTAGTCTGTACAGAGATGTCGGCGCGGATATGCTCAAGAGACGGGACCGCGGTAAGGAGGCTTCTCTGAGCTTGCGGGCTGGAGAGAAGAAGGAGCGTCGCTTCGGTGAGCAACAGACTGGCGAGATCGAAGGTCTTGAGCTGCTGGAGAAGTGGAAGGAGGAAGAGCGCCGAAAACGGAGAATCGAGAAGGGTCTGCCTTCTGATGCCGAAGATGATGAGGACGATGAGGCAGAAGACGATGCGGCCTGGGATAAGTGGAACATTGAAGACGACGAGGATAGCGACGATTCCGGTGGATGGATTGATGTGCAGAGCGATGCGGAAATCGAGCTGAGCGACTCAGATGATGACGAATCCCCGCCTTCGAAGAAGGCCAAGCAAGGCGAAGAGGAAGAGGACAAGGCCAAGTCCGAGCCTGCGAATCCCGAGACAAAGAAGACGAATCTCGCGACGACTCGAATTCTCACGCCGGCCGACCTGGCCAAACTCGCAGAGCTCCGCAGCGAGGCGGCCGTCAATTCTTTACTTCCAAAGAGACTCCGCTCTGATCAGAAGAATGGGCCTTCCCGTCATGCGGATGATCCATTGACAGCCGCAGAGATTGAAGGTCTGGCAGCTCTGTCTGCCGGCAAAGCAACGCGCGAAGAGCGCATCGCTCATGCTAAGGAAGGCAAGGATCGGTCCGAGTATAAGAGTGTGACCGCACGGCGCAAGGAGCGCAAGGAAGCGCAGGGAAAGAGTACTACCAACAAGGAGAAGGCGCGCCGAAAGAATCTCTTCATGACTCTAGGAAAAGCGAAGAGCAAGGGCAAGAGAAGTCTTGTGGAAACCCGAAACGTCTTGCGTGCTCACCAGCAACGGCAAAAGCGTGGTGGAAGGAGAGGAAACGCTGGATCTTAGTATATATAGGATAACGTCGAGGAGAGAACTTAGAACGGCCGAAAAGTTTAGATACCAATGTTTAATCTACTATGTCAGACTTGAAGTGTTTCGATGTGGGTTATACGGATTCAAGAGATGCTTCCGCAAAACCATACCCTTGTCATTTCTCTTTCTTTTCCTTGGGTAGACGAAGTACATCTCTTGAATATCAGCTTTTGGCAATCTCTATGCATGCCCAGAGTATCTATTCCAGTCTAAAGGTCAATGGACAAGCCTAGCCAACCCTGAGCCCTATTGGGATATATTGACCTATGGCAAAACCAGAACGACACGTGACATAGATGCGGCGCGTCACCGCGTCGCGTTCTTCCCACCAATAGAAATGGTAAATCCAGCCATCCCAATTTCCTGCCGTAATTCATTCCGCATACTCTCTTCATCCATACATGCCAGTCATGCCTTGTTCTTCCCTAAACCTCTTCGAAATCTCTCGCTGATTTCTCTGACAAACAACATACTTCTATTGGTCACTGTAGCTCTACAGTGCAACATTGATTGCAGAAACTCTCCGCTCCACTGCTTTGTACTGGATTCTCCAGATCAATCACCACCATATTCCAATCAAGATGTCTCTTGCGCAGAACAGCAACTTAGACTCCAAGCGCAGACGATTCCAACCGTCTATTACGACTTTCTTCTCTCCAGCCGTGTCCGACTCGAATGGCACAGACGCTGCATGCGACCCCCATCTTTCTCACAACCACTATGCCGCCGCTACCAATTCTCCCACCCCCATTCTCCCTGCCAAAATCCAATCCTCTCTCCTCTCGGTCGGCATGCGCGTCCGAAAATCAGTCGCTGAAGGTTACAAGACGAAGGGTGTGAAGATGTTCGATGCACCTACCAGTACCATCACTCTCTCCGCAAAGCATGAACATTCCACCGGTAGAGGCTGTCCTACCGTCCGCGGGGAACTTGCTCCTTTCTGCGGCCTCTCCAAATCATGCGACTACACTATTCAACCTCACTCTAATCCAGTCTATCGACTGTCTGAGACAAGGGACCATAACGTTGACATCGTTACCGACGATGGCGATGCGTTCTCGCTTCCTCCCAGCAGTCAAGAGTCCGTTTACTCGGCCAACAATGGCCAGAAACGATCCTATGACCCTGATGATGCGGATGAATACGCCAGTGACTTTGAACACAATGTGTTTGTAACTACAGACACCGTACCCGGTCGAACCATCCTCTGTCCGAGTCTGGGGCGCCAACGGCGGCGATTCGTTGCATTACAAAACCAAGCCATTCAACAGGGGACTATGCAAGTCGATGACTTCGAGGAGCCAGTGTTTCTTCGTAGGCGGGAAGAGGTTGATACCGATTACTTGCCTGGTCGAATAGGTAGTTGTGAGGTTGAAATGGGAGGGGCATGAGAGATTTAATGCCTGTTAACACTGAGCTGGTTTCAGTGATATATTCAGGAGTTTGCGGCAGTGGCTGTCGAAGTTCTTCCCTAGTCTTCTTTCATTTCTCTGTATATGTTTATTCACACATTTCACACATTTGCCCTTATCGCATTTTTTGTTTTCGCCTGTCTCTGATGTGATTCTACAAGGCAATGGATGTACAAATACCCTATGTTCTCGGGACGCTTTACCTGTTTCCCATCGAGCCAAATCTGGCATTTATTCCATCTTTGACGACTTTACTGTATAACAGCGAGTTATTCTGCTTCAATTCACGTGCATGGTTGCCAGTCATAGTGATTGTAACCTTCACCTATCTCATGTGAAAAATGGTCAAGGCAATCTTGGAAAAGAGGTCTTGAGTAGCAGTAACTTGACTAAAAAGCTTGAAGGCAAATTCTACCGTTTTGCTGCTAGCGGATGAATTTAAGAGTCTAATACAAATCATTAACCAGATACATATTTTGTTTACAGTTCGTCCTTGGGAGGAGCCTTGGCCTTCTCGGCCTTCTCCTTCTTCCCCTTGTCCTTCTTGGGCTTCTGGGCATTACCCTTGCCGTTCTCCTTCGACTGGTCTCCGGGTGATTTACCAGACCTGGCTGCGGCTGCGCCCATCTTCTCGTAGATGCGGTTCATGGTCCGCTCCAGCTCCTTGAGACGGGTGTCAATCTCTGCGACTGTCAAAGCCGGGTCATCGGACTCGGTCAGCTTCTCCTGGAGGGCGAGCTGGGTTTCGAGCCAGGTATTTGTGGACTCATAGATCTTGGTGAGGCTGGAGAGGTCGGAGGGTTGGAAGATTGAGTACTTCGGACCGGTGGGTTTAGGGGTTGTGGTAGTCGAGGTGGTCTCGGATGTGGATGTTGTGTAGGGGTCCTTCTCGAGATCGTCGAGAGGATCGGCGGTCGTCGAAGATGACTCGCTGGAAGATGCTGTCGAGGTAGTGGAAGATGAGCTCTCCGTGGATTGGGTGGATGTTGCACTAGAGAGACTCGAGGAGTAGAGTTCTTCGTCTTGTTCAATCTGCTTCTGCAAAATGTCTACAATGGTTTTCGAGTTCTTCAACAAGTCTTGAAGAAGCTGAACCCGAGCCGGCCGATTCGCATTCTCCTGTTTTCTCTTCAGAGCGGGGTTGACGATATCCTTCAGAGACTTAAGTTTGGCCCGGAACTCGGATGTTGTAGCGTCAGCACCATCGCCATAGAGCCAGTCGCTGGCAGAGGCGGTTTTCTCCTGGAGCTCGGCCAGCTGATCGGCTTTGAGCGCTTTGACAAAATCCTCATCGTCAGCCAGATCCCGGCTCCGGTAGATAAAAGACTCCAATTCATTAAGAGCCTCCTCACGCAGAATACGATCGCGGTCCGAAGCATCGAAGGCAGAAAGACGGGTCTGAATACGAGTCATTTCACTATCCGACGGCGCGGGAGTTCCAAGGGGCGACGTCATGAAGCTAACGGGAATCAGTTCCACTTTGATCTGCGGTGCAGCCTTTTTGGTCTCCTTGGCGGACGTTGTGGAAGCTTCGGCAGCAGAGGATGTTGTCGAAACTTGGGGTTCTTCTGCTTCCAGCGTAATTGACTCTGTGGGTTCTCCTTCTTCACCGAGCGGTGCCTGTTCATCCTTCTTGGACCCAAGCCCGAAGAAACCCTTCACATCTTCAACGACGCTTCCCTTCTTTACGCTCTCGACTTCACAGCTAACGGATCCACCCGTAACTTCAGGGAGTCCATCAACAGGACTGAGACGCATGGAAAACTTGGTAGTGATATTGGCTGGCGAGCAACCGAACTTCTCTTTCAGCTGGGCGACAGAAGCAGTTAGATTCTGAGTCTGCACACGGAGAACCGGCGACTCGACGACCTCATCGCCTGTGGGAATTTGTTGATAGAAGCTGAACTCAAAATCATCCAGATTCTTCATTGTAACCTGTTTCTCGGGACCAACTTGGGAAGTCGGAGTAAAGAGCTTCTGCTGTCTTTCCTTGGTCTCTGAGGGCCACTTGAGCAAAACAGCGTAACTCGAGACATCGCTGGCTCTAATATCTTTGACGCGGAAACTGGGGCTCAGAGCAGCTCCCTTGAATGCAGCACCAAAGACCGCTGCCTCATCAGCGTTCACGCTTGTTCTGATCTTATCAGAAGATCCAGCGATGCGTTCGAGCTCCTTCTGTACGAATGGTGTGCGGATAGCGCCACCGTGGAGAATAATAGAGTCAATGTCACTGAGCTGTAGCCCAGCCGCGGCCAGAGATCGCTCAATAGGTCCTCCGATACGAGCGATGTGATCCGCAGCAAGCTCCTCGAATTTGGATCGAGTGATACGATATTTGAAATTCAAATCTTCCTCATAAAGACTCTCAAAACTGGCGCCCGTCTCGGTGTTAGCGCTCAGCACTTGGCGAACCTTCTCGGCGTCCTTCCAAAGCCTTGCCATGGTTTTACCATGCGCCTGGATTTCAGCGGAAGTTGCGCGCCCGTTCAATTTCTTATGCTCGGCTAGATTTGCGACCATATCCTGCACGATAAGATCATTCAGAGAATCTCCTCCAAGTGTCCTGTCCCAGCCGGTTCCCAAGACCTGAACTTCCTGTACAGTCTTGTTGAATTTCCCAACGTCCTTCACTGCACGACTTTGGAAGCGTATGACACTTGTCGTGGTGGATCCGGCTCCCATGTCATAGATAATATGATACTCGGGTTTCTGGCCATCGGAGACGCTGGGGAAAGTACGGCTGGTGGCGTAGTTCAGACCGACAGCAAGGTTATCACTGATAAGAGCGTCCACTTTCAAACCTGCCAATTCCGCTGCCAGCTCTAAGCTTCTCTTTTCTTCAGCGGTGTAGAACGAGGGATATGTAATTATCACGTCCCTAACATCAGATCCCTTTCCGGCCAGACTGTCGGCATTACCCTTGATCTGCTTCAGCTGCATGGCTAAGAGCTCCTCAACAAGGAACGCATCCTTTCTGTCAGCCTCACCCAGCCTATTGCTGCGCAGTCCAACCGTACCACGCTCACCAGGGGCAGCTTCCAATCTCAAGGCGGGATATCGGCTATGATATGTCTTAACCATCTCATTGTCACCATTCTCAAAACGAACTCCGAGCAAGGCCTTGAGGTTTGCGTAAACATCGTCGGGATAACGGGCCGCCAGAGCTAGGGCGTCACCACCGTAGAATCTCTCAGGGAATGGAGCATTGCTTTCTCTTGTGGGTTTGAACGCAACAGCTGCCGACTCCTTTCGTTTCGAGTCTTTGGTGAGGACAATCTCAAGCGGAATGCCGGGTTTGACGAGCGCGGCCTTGATATACTCGGTACCTACGTCGACACCGAGAACTGCCGATCCAGCAGCGGAGGTAGGAGCCGGGAAGCTGAGGAAGAAGAGCAGAAAGGGAAGGATGAGGAAGGAGAAGACTGGGGAAAGCGATAATGCTCTCAATCGATATCCAGGAGGAGCCATCTTGGGGCGTATTGCTGTCGCGATAATAGAGGTCAGACAATGTACCGAGCACCTGGGAGGAAGAGTCTAGGAGGATACCTCGAATGAGCAGACACGAATCGGGGAAAAGATAGACAGTCTACAAGAGTCCCTCAAAAAGCTTCCCCTAGCAATTATCGAAAGAAGGAACGGTGCAAAACGGGCTGTACATTCAAGTATCACGAATCACGGTAGTGGAGCTTGTCGTGAACTATAGGAAATAGCCATACGTCAGTCCCGTGTGAGCGGATTGGGCTTGGGAATGCAGGCAGACTTACAAGTCATTAAGTAGAGAAAGCCATCAAGAGTGCAGCCAAACCCTATACAAATGGCCACCTGGCAGTAAGCATGAAGAATGGGTTTGCGAAACTTGAAGAGCCCCAAATTGTTGTTGCGGACCTCGATAAGGACACGTTTGGATGTATATGATGCAAACATACTCGATACAGCAATTTTGCATTCTTTACCCAGAAGATCGACACCACGTTTGCAGGGTCCAGCCTTTCTACACTGGACTATGCGATTCGATTATTCCGACTGCTTCTGTCTCTTTATTCTCCATGTATCTAGTGTTTCTCCTGAATCAAGGTCATCGGTCATGGTTCCAGAGGTTATCTATGCTGCTCAATCGTCGTCGAAATCTGAATCACTCATCCATCCTGTCTCATAAGATTCACGAATCTCTCCCAGGCCGTTAACGAGGTTCTCTCGTTCATCAACTCCGATTACTCGCCCAGCCACGGCTTCCATAGCCTTGATCTTTGTTGCTGTTCGCGATGAAGCAGTCAGCGCTGCAAGGACGTTGATCTTTGCGTCCTTATGCTCCACTGAGAACATGTTGCGAGGAGAGCTGTCCAATATAGGGAATGCTAGTGGGATGTAAAAGCTATGTTATCGTTAGCCCTTAGCATCGTAAAATCTCTGTTAATGGCGTAGCGTCTTCACTCACCTTTCGAGCATTGGTTCAGAGTTATAAAAGCGTTCCTTGCGCTTTAATCCAAGATCCTCCCTGGATTCGGGCACCTCTTTCTCGGGACTATATCCACGGCCAACTTGAACTTGATTGAATATATGCGATTCACCGCTGTTCGGGTCATCATACGAGAAGTCCAAGTCAAACTCTGTTCTAACTTTCGAGGATTCTCCTCTCGATGCTTGTGTCCTCCGATCTTCTGGGCTTTGGACGGGTCGTTTATGATTGCTCACGTCCTCAGGCAGTATCTTAGATTGCAGCTCAAAAATCCTATGGGTGCCATCTTCTCCCGCTAGAGATGTCTCAAAATCCGTATAAGAACGAAGACGAGTGGGAAGCGTCACCGTTTCCATCGCCATGCTGATTAGTGCTGAAGTCTGCCATTCCGACTGAGCGTCGAGGCTAATTGTTTTGGGGAGACGAGTCGGTGGGTCTAGAATAGGTACGTACAGCGACGACTGTGGGGAGATGGATTGTATAGATCGTGCTTTGTTCATATCGCGCTTAAGTTGGTTGTGCTGAATGGAAAAAACGGAATGAGTTTCAGTTAGAGATCTGGTAGGGAAGAGACTCACTCTTTGAACCTTGCTTCCACCTTCAATAGCCCATACCCAAACAGCTTTTTTACCAAATTCATCTCTTAGCCTATCCACATATTTTGCGGCAAATCCACCCCAGGCATCATCGGAGCTTGTGAATAATTGGAGGGCGCGCAATTGATCGCATTCTTCCGCAAAAGGTCTCAAGTCTCGGTCGAGTAGGTCATGCTCTTTGTCCAGTTCTCCAAACAAATCTTCCCCGACATTCCAGTCTTCGAAAGGCATAATCTTTGAATTCAACTCGTAATCATTGAGCTGCACTATTGAACGCGGATGATAGAACAATCGGTTATAGTCTGACCAGTAGCGCACGGTATCTGAGGAGAGAACTGGTGCCGGAAGCCCTTGCTCCAAGTGTTTTTGATACTCGCTCGGAATGATTGGTGTTTGTCGCTGTATGACTTCTTTTCCGTCCCTGAAACAAAAAAGGTCCAAAGTGAGCCCTATCCATGGAGGCCTCTGAATAAATAGTGGAGTGGAAAGGAGCGACCTTACCATAGGCCGTGCCCGGGATCTGCATCTGTACTCAACTCATAGAGGGCATTATGCTTGCGTAGGGACCCAAAAGCACCTTTCAAGTCATAAATCAGCGTCCTCGGAGTGTAAGTTTCCGACCCATCCGCCCCAATGCCAGGTCGAAAATGGACATCATGATCGATTGGTGTTTCTTCCGCTTCACCGTATGTGAAGTATGATTCCTTCAAGGCTTAAGTTGAAGGTCACAATAGAGCGATGGGGGGAAAAGGCTCTGCTAACCTGAAGATTCCAAAAATGCGTTGCCAGGTAATTTGCTCGTTGCCCCAGTTGTAGCGTAATGATTTCATGCATTTTGCGCTTATTCTAGAGATGTATGAGTGCTGCAGATATGCTTGTGAGGAAATAGGTCGGCTTGAATTTAGGCGATTCTAGCATCATCCAAGGTCAAATGAGAGCGAGTGCACATTGATACATACGAGCAAAATTCAGGTGATCCATCAGGTTTCGAAGAGAGAAGGCAGAACAAATGCGGTAGAATAAGACAAATTCCTGAAGAAACCCCGCAGGGAAATATCTCAAAGACTCAGACTGTTATCGCATCATGAAGCACGAACCACCTGGAGCTGGATGCCTTATTAAGCTTAGTGCTTCCTTATCAAACACGTGAGACCCATATGCTTAATATAGTATAGCTTGGTTGTCCGGAGCAACAGTCACCTGACGCTTACCACATGAGGCAAGAACTGAGCAAACATGTTTGGCGTGTGTGTTGTGGGTGCGTCAGTTCGATAAAGGCCTGACAATCAGATCCAAGTGTCAACCCAAGCGCCCCCTCCACGTCGATACCCTACAATCGCAAACCTTTTCAGCGATTGTCATGCTTGACTAGCACCAGACGGACCGTATCACCTTTGGTCTGACACCCATCAACAGCTATTCGCGATGGACTCTCCTATTCTGTCCAGTCCTACGAAAATACTTCATCCACTCTCGCCTGAGCGGATGAATCAACAGCAGACCATTCCTAGCTCACCATCACGACAATCGGATATTCTGGATATACAGCAACGAAAGAAGACAAGAGGGATGTCCGACGTTCAGGCAAGAGTAGCGTACTTGAACAATCTGTCTCGTGGAAACAGCCCGGCAAATACACCACAGCCATCAACATCATCTGGTACTTCGGCAGCGCTACAGAGAGCACTACTCGGACGCGAAGAGGCGGAATCGGCTCTAGCCAGTGTCTCCGCTCAGCTTTCCGAGGCACAATCACGAGAACGTCGCATAAGCGAGCGACTCGAATCATTGCTAGAAGAACTTCAAGCAGCCAAAGAACGACAGGCGCATGAACGATCAGTCTTTGAAAAAGAGATTAGGAAGGCAAGAAAGGAGGCTTTTCGCGCGGGTTCTGCTCTAGTAAAACTACAGGAGGAACTGAAACACGCACGGTCGGAAACCAGAGGGTTGAAGGAGGAAGTTCTCTGCGAGCGAGCGGCGAAGGAACAAGCGAAGCAAGAGGCATTTGAGCGAGCATACGCACTTGCTGGCTTGACTGAAGAGCTGGAAGTCCTCAAAGGACGCTTGCGCAATGTTGAAGCCAATCGTCGCTCCGACAGCCTTGAGGCCCGAGCAAAAGAAATGGGTGACGAAAATATTGGAAGACTATCGCTGGCAGAAGGAGATCTCGCGTTCATGCTCACCCCGGCACCTCGCAGGCCAAAACGGCCTGCTGAGGATTCGACGCACTCACCGCTTGTGGAATCTGCAGATCAGACTACGGCGCAAGACACTCCTCCAAAGAGACTAAGACTTTCAGATGTGACACCTCGGCAAGGTGATCAAAATACACTATCCACAAACACTCAGCAAGAGATAATCGATGACCTCGAAGAGTCGCTCAAGCATGAGAGAAAAATGAGACTCGATGCCGAGGACATGATTGAGTTTCTGAGAATGGAGTGCGAATTCAAGCGATGCTCCTGCAGGCTTGCAGAAGAAGAGGAACAGGCCCATCATGTCCATGCACCAACCCGCGAAGATGTCGTAGCCAATGACGAGGTTCAAAACATCATTAAAGAAGACCGCCATGACATCCGTGGCCCTGAAGCCCAGCATCATTCACACTTTGACAACCCCTTGCAGGGGTCTGGGTCTACGCAGCAGGCAAGGCCCCAAGAACAACCAGAGGAACTCTTGATAACTTTCTCGCCCGTGACGGGAACTTTCAAATCTGTCCCGTCTCCAGTTCGATCACCTCCTAAGCAACCCCAAGGCACAGCCATAAGCGGGCTCGAATCATCGATCTCTCACGGAAACCTGTCAGCGGAGCAGTTGCTCATTAGTCCTTTCGAAGAAAGGCATATTAATCGGCACGAGCCGTCCTTTGAGCCCATGGTGCAAGTTAAAGAAGAAGACTCGGTCCAACCTTTCGCTCCAGGTCTTCAACCATCCCCGGCTCGTATCAGAGTCCCTTGGGATTCTCCTTCACCACGGTACAGCATTGAAGATAATCACAATGCATCTACAGAATCAGACGGTGCGCTCGCTCCTCATTCTGTTCCCCTGCCGGGAACCTCCATCGATAGAGAACAAGCTCTAGCGCAAATTCGCGCACGAAGAGGAAAGACTAGTACAATGAAAAGATCTGTCAGTGCTAATGAGGCTACCCTTCGCTCGGGAGGAGGGTGTGTCACACCGGGTCGGGGTGCGCAAAAAATCCGTGGCGTTCAGAACTCGTCAGTGAGAACTGACGGGGATAAGGCTGTACGACGAGATCTAAGTGCTCCGGTCAGGATGTTCCGCCGGTAAACTTCGTTCCTCCTTGATGTGAACAGAGTGCATTGGTGTCTGAACCACATCATACTTGAGCTGTTGTCGATTGTTGACCGAATCTTCGTTTGATACCCTGATGTCTAAATGAGATGGCGTTTGGTTTGGGGTTTTCTCGGGGCTAATTAAATGGCGCTTCTTGCTTTTTTTGGGGTACCTTTTCTTTTGGATTGCTATGAGCTGACCTGAGTTTGGACTTCTCCTGCTGGTATATAGCCACAGCTTACGATACTCGCGGCAAAGGACAATGATTTTTTTCTTTGCTTATGTTTATGCGCAGCATGGCACCATCACATTCATTCTGAGATTTGCATGGTCTCCCCATTTTCCTTTGTCAAGCATATTTATGGTACATAAAATCCTGCTTCAGTGGCTATATGATTACCAGCACATAACTCTTACGAACCCAACCGAATACCATGAATGAGATATCTCCCGTCATTTGAAGGTCCGACATGTCCCTTGAGGTTAGCATTGCATATATATCGAAATGCAAATGAATATTTACCATGACAAGTTCGATATTGGCCCTTGGCCCTTGTCAAGAATCTCATCAAACAATCGAAATCCCACAGCACTTAATGCGCGCACTATCAATGTAGGCTTTGCGACCCCACCATGACTGCACCAACTCCTCGACAAAGACACGGTCGGAAGCGCTCCACACATCGAGGCCCATCTCCGTCATATCCTCAGAGGTGATAGTTACCGGCTCGTCATCCTCAGGTGAAGATTTGGCCCCAGATGGCAGCAAGGGCCGTCTCGAGTCGTCTTCTTGCGAAGCTTCCCTGCCAATGGAAATGGAGGGTTCGGCGTCCGCTTCCTCCGGTTCGTCCTCGTACGGGGCCCCGACATCCTCATCCTGTTCGCCGTTTCCGCCATCCTGACGGGCAATCACGTCCGACAACGTAACGAAGAGCTGGGTCGTCAGGCGACGGAAGTAGGCGACCAGTGCGATTTCGGGAGGTTGCGAAGCGTCCTCCGCTTGCATGGAATGGCGGCCAAGGGATCCCGAGGACGGGGTCGGCATGGCTTCCAGACTGGCTAGGAGTCGCGTGTCTTGCTCAATTTGGCGCTCTTCTTCCACTTCTTCCGTGAGTCCGTCACGCTTCTCGCCTGCGGATGCCCACCAGATGAAGGATGTGTAGGCTAGACGTGTCCATGACAGCGGCTCGACGACCGGACTGGATGAGTACGTAGATGCAGCATCGGAGTCCTCATCCTCACCAGATGCAGTGTCATCGTGGGCGATGTGGTGTAAGCTCTTGCGGAGGATGGTGTAGCGTCGCGCATCGCGTTGTGTGGCTTTCAGGTAGATTGCTTGAGACGAGTTATGTTGCGCGCTTCGGTTAGGCAAGACGGAGATTTTAGGGAAGACTTTTTGGGCTGCGTTGCTGGCATGTGGCGGAGGCAAAGTAACTAAGACGTCGAAGAGCTCGCTTTTCATACTCAGCACACTGTCTGTGCTGCAGGCTATCCAAGCGGCATTGGGCTCAGTCTTGGGAGAGACGTTCACGAAGGATGAAAGGTAGGGTATATCGTGGATGCCGATATTGAACAGCGCGCGGGGTCGGGGAGGAAGTGAAGGGCCAGGAGGAAGCAGTGGAAGAAGGTAATTCGGTAGCGATGCTAACAACGACAAATCATATACTGCGGTTGTTAGCAAGGACCAAGGGGGGTTGGGGGGAAGATCCATTTACCGAAGTTACAGGGTATATGAACCGGCGCCTCGGCCATGAAGAGAATACGCTTGCGTAATAATGCTGCTCTGTACAATGGCAATATTAAAGGACCGAAAGAGTCAAGAAATTCGGGAAGTGACGATGCTGGATGGAAAGGCGTTAGGGCCGGCCTAGACGCTTCCAGTACTATTGCGTCGCTGAATGCGCGATTACGCTGCAAGTTGTCCGGTCGTTCTCTGAACCGGAGGCTGACAGGTGATTCCAGCGGAGAATCAGCAGACATGGCCGATGCATCGTTCACGCGTATCTCAAAGTTATCCCAGTAGTCCGACAAAGGTTGAGTGTTTGTCATATCCTTGGCATAGGTCCTGCATCAAGTCTGTCAGACGGCACTTCGAGCTATGAGAGATCTCACCCACTCTGCCAATTCCTTTAGCCTTGGAGCGTGCCTCCAACTCTTCCCGAGTCTACCAAAACTCAAAGGGACCAGAACCCCCACGGCAAACATCTGCGCATTACGCTCTGCTTCGTCCGCGGGTTGGTTGACGAACGAACTGATCCCGGCATACTGTTCATGGACGAAATATCTAGGCAATGACAATTGATTAGCACACGGAAGGCAATCAATCGGTCGGCAGCATACACTAAATCCTCAGAGACATTATGAAGACCGGACGGAAGCGATTTGTATTCGACGACTCCTTCTATCTCGACTAGAGACCCGGATACGTCAGCTTCGGTGGCTCCCACTTCTTCGATGATAAATGAGACTTACCTCCAGGAACGGTACGTTTCCATGAAATTATGTATCTGGGTCATTGTTCGTAGTCAGTCGCTGTAGGCCACAGATTTGCACTGAAACAAGCAAGCTGATGGTAAAGCTCACCCAGCCTTGATATCGAAGCGGATGACGAATAGCGCCGCAATACCAGGCGGCGAGTCAGGAGTAGGGTTGCGGGGTACATCGAGCCCCAGAGGCTTTCTCCTAAAAGGTCCAGGAGCCATGGGAAGAATGCGCTTTAATCAAGGAGCTTCCAGGCTCCATGAAGTGACTGAAAGGACTGACAATGAAAGTGATGATGATGATGGAGGATAATCGCGATTCGAGAACAGAGCGGGCACTCGTTAAATTGTGGAGAAACCTTGGAGGTGTTGCTGCCTGAGGAATCAAGGCTAGCTACGTTGACTAAGTACAGTAGTATCCACCAATTGTTTAGCCTGATGGATCTTGTATACCTAGTTAACTGAATAGTTTTAGATTCACAAAAAAAGCTCGCCATCGAGGATTATACTGTTTCTTCAGGGATCCTCAAGCCGGTGGCGATTTTGGCGGCTGTCTCATCTTAGGTTGTGAATGGACAGGAAGTGAATGTACAAAACCAGACGTTGCCAAAATATCCGTCCTTGCCTTCAATCTCGAAGTCCAACATCCATCTCACACTTGAAGACAAGGGCAATTTTCTTCGCGCATTGACTCTTCTGCAATTATGAGTAGTCAAGCCTCTTCTCATCCTTATTATCCTTTGGATGCGCATATTAAGGACTATGCTCCCAATGAGAATTCAATCCAACGCCTTCTCACTACCTCCAGTATCGCAAGCTCTGTCATTCTAGGAGGGACTCTGGCTTGGGTCAGCTTCTTACGACCAAGTCTGTCCAAGGCAGACCGGTTTGCCATTCTGTGGTTTGCTCTCTGTAAGATCCCTGCTTCTGACCCACGCTTATATAAATGAACAATGGCCCTCTAACTGCTCGACCAGCTGGGACAATACATTGCTTTTTTGAAGGCTATTTCATAATCCACCATGACCACATGGCTTCTGCGCAGGACTTCCTCGGTCAGTTGTGGAAGGAATATGCGCTATCTGACTCGAGATATATGACTTCGGACACCTTGGTTCTGTGCCTGGAGACAATGACAGTGGTACGTGCCATGTACCTACTGCACAGACGAGGCTCTCTCTTTCAGGACGACTGACCATGATTATAGCTCATTTGGGGCCCTCTATGCTTTTTTGTAGCATACCTGATCCTCAACCAACGTTCACTCCGTCATCCACTGCAGCTGATCGTCTGCATGAGCCATCTGTACGGTGATACATTGTACTATGCCACGAGCTTATACGATCACTATGTCCATGGACGGTCTTACTGTCGACCTGAAGCGTACTACTTTTGGATCTACTACTTTCTCATGAACTTCATCTGGATCATTATCCCCTTCTGTAGGTTCCAGGACATGGATGTTGAGGCCGATACAAACTCATATATGTCACAGATTATCTTTCTCAGAGTGTCAAGACAATCTCCAATGCCATCAAAGCTTTCCAGCGAATGTCTGCAGACGAAAAGGCTCGATAATGTTCGAGATCGCCGCCCCTGACGGTTTTCTAGGAATCATCGTCGCACAAACGGACCCCCTGTTGGAGCATACGACTACAGCTGGATATTGATTTGATCGAAATATGGATTGACGTAATTCAATGCGATCCGGTGTGCCTGACGAGGTTATTGAGATCACGCCTGTCTGACCCACTTGGTGACGCGTGGACAGCTACCTCCTAGACAGTTTTCAAGTAGCAAATGATAATCGTATGAGAAGGTGCATGTACTATGCTGTCAGGATTCGATTGCCGCCAGTTACTTTAGAAAATAATACAGAATTAAAGTCTATGGAGGAATGTGCTGCCTTGGATTCTTCAAATCACCGGTTGGGCTCCGAGCTAGGTGTGGATATACAAATCATGGCAGCATATACACGTCTGAAACAAGTGAACCAAGCTGGAACTCGACGATTCCTTCATATCCGCCTAACGAGTTCAGCTAAGTCCGAGTGCAAAGATCAAAAGAGAAATTGCTAGACTAGATAACGATTTAGTTTATCTACTCCGTACCACTGCGCCTTAGTATGGTTGGTTAGAAGTTAGCGCTGATCCTGCACGTTTCCCGGGCAGCATCAGTAGGTACCTTACTGACTTTAGAGCCTTACTTAGGGAGGTATGCCACACGGAGAAAGCTCTGGATCGGCCGAATTCCAGAGAAGAAGATCATTTCTCTGAAACTCGTTCAACATCGCAGTCATCCAGGGTCAGTCGATCTTTGATATCATATCAACATCGATCGTTCTTGTGAGGAGAGAGGTACTCCTAGCAAAACATCATTCCCAGCTGACCATCGTCACTTGGACGACCCAGCCGGCAGCGGACTGGAGCCCTACCTAGCTAACATTCTCCTCTACAGTCGTCTGCTGCCCCCATCATTTGACCGCCTGTTTACGGTGGTCTCTATTCAAAACTC